TACGAAAGAATGAATGAATTCCAAGAATAGTTCTTGGAAATGCAGAAAGAGTTGCATGCCATTCGCTGACAGGACTTGTTTGGCAAATATGCCGCTGACCTCTGTCTGGTCCCTAATGTAAAAATACCGCCTAAATTCAAGGTGCCCGACTTTGAAAAATATAAAGGCAACTCTTGCCCTCAAATTCATCTAATAATGTATGCCCAAAAGATGTCTACTCAGATAGAAAACTAACAACTACTAACGCAAAAGGTGAACACTAAACACTCTAGGCCATTAAGAGGAAACTCCAAATCACCATTTCCCAAGTACTTAAGGCTCATAGCGTACAATATTCATTAGCCTTTATTAAGTATTTTGAAGTTGTTTTGAAATGAGAAAGAGAGAGGACAAACTAAAGGGAACTAGTTCAAACCTAGTAGTTGTCATGCAAGATGAACCTATAGTTGAGGTTAAAGGGAATCTACTTAATGTTCTCATACATGGTTTGAAACCTAGTGTCTATCACAATCATCCTTAAATAAGGAGATTGGAAGTCCTAAGGGAGCATGGTAAGAAAAGAGAAGAACAGAACATGATATAAAACATGAGATAAGAATGAATGCATATGTTATGCAACACACAAGCAAAGGAGGAAAACGTGTGGGGTGAACACCTCCACAAGCTCATCTCAACCTTTATTAATGCATAAGGGAAGAAAAGGAGGATAAAAGCTTACAACATGCATACCTCAATCCTAATGCACAAAATCATACAACATGAAAGGGAAAGAAGGAGAGGATTGAATGAGATGATGGGAGGCAAAGTGAGAACCAAGGGAACTCACAAGGGCTACTCAACCAAACATACTACATCTAATATGCACACAAATCACACAAATGGTCCTCAAAGGCTCATTACTTATGGCATGCCTTAAGTTCCTCCAAAGGAGGGACCAAGCTTCCATAAGTAGGATCCTAAAGTCCTAGGACAGAAAGAGATGAGGGAAGAATGTATACAAAGTAAATGAAAAGAGATGCACCAAAGAATGCAAACAAATCATGACAAAAGAGTGTAAACATTCACATACATGCACATATGGAATCCTAAAAGATAGGTCAAAAGAAGTACAAACTTAAACAAGTTGCAAACCAAATTAGGACCTAAAATTCAACATACAAACACCTCATTATGCTTATAATATGAATGCACCAAAATTAGAGGCTCAACTAATGCACAATAACCATTTAGAGCACAAACTAGCTCATGTATTAGGGTAAACATCACACAAAGATGACCAAAAATGGAAATTACACTAAAAATAGCAAACATATCAAAAAAAATGCCAAATAAAATCTTAGAGGACCCCTAAGGTGTTAGGAACCAGGGGTCAAAATTATGGAGACCAAGTCCAAACACAACTAGGCAAACATAATTGAAATTCAAAGGGATACCCTAAAAACAAGGGTAAATCAAGGGTCCTAAAAATCAATCTAAAACCCTAACCAATTGTCAATAAAACCAGGGGTAAAAATGTCAAAAAAAAATCAACTAATATGTCAATAATATGAGCAACAATTATCAGCCATTAATATAAGGAATTCATCAAGAAATAAAATCAAATACATGAGATATGCAATTTCAATCCAATTAAAATACCTCAAAAGTAAAAAATCAATTTTAATTGGAAAATGGCTTAAAAAATTAAGTAAAAATTTAGAAAATCAATTAACATCCTATGATGTCTAGAAAATATTTTTTTTTGGATTTTTATCATTAATTGAGGCATTTTATTTGGATTAAAGCTCAAATAGCAAAATAATGAGAAAAAGGAAATAAAGAAAAGAATATGAAAAAAGAGCGTGGCATTTAGCAAATATATCTAGTTATTCTTTGGGTTGTGCTTTGAGAGGGGTGTGAGTATGAAACAAGGCCCAAGATCCACATGAATCAGCCTGGGTGAGTGAAACTCACCGTTTCACTAAACACATGTGGCAGTCAAGATACGCGTGGCCAAGTCAAAGGGAATAGATAAGTCAAAAGGTCAAAGCATGAGGTGGCGTCCATGTAGGCTAATCTGAACTAAAACCAGACGCAGGAGCCACTGTGTTCCGGTCGTCTTCTCCGGTCAACCTCCGGTGAAGGGAGTTCAAAACTCAACCAAAACCTATAATTCTTGAGTCTAAATTCATCCTTATCTCACACTGATCACTAATCTATGGTCCAAACTAATTTATCACTCCTAAATCATGCAATACGAATTGAACAAGTTTCAAGCAATATCCAAGAATCATCAAGAACAATGATCAAACTAATCAAAAAATGGTCTATGATGTTAGGGGTTCAAGAATCCATTAAAATGGCATGTGATTGATGCATGAACAGAGAGAAATCGTGAATGATAACTTACCTAACGGAGTGCCTCCATTAGGCCTTGATTTGTTAATGAAACTCATGCAAAACCAACCAGAAAGCTTCAAAGAACTTCAATGGAGCTTGTTATCACCTTGAATTAGATTGAATTTGCTTGATTCTTGAAAACATGATCTCACTTTTCTCTTCACTTTTGCAACTGAATTCTGCTCCAAATTCCACCAAAAATCCACACTGAGCACTTGTGAAGCATCTGGAGAATATATTCAATGGATCTGAGTACAATTGGAGGCCATATTGTGGCCCTTTAAGGTCAATTGAAAAAAATCCAATTTTGAACTTTGAAGCTTGCAAATTCGCGCATGAAACTGCTCCAATGGCTCTGAAATTGGTTCATACACCTTGCTTGTGCTTCTTTCTCATCAGAGGGATGAGATCAATCCCTTGAAACAATCTTGTGGTTGATTTTGGATGTGTAGCTTCATGGTGAAGCAACTTAGAAAATGGCATGCCTTTGCTCACCAAAACTCACTTCTGAATTTGGCGTTGCATTTGTTATGTTTAAGGCACTCAAAAAATGCATAAACATGACATGATATGGTTTAATATGACTTTCATTCAAGTTATGGCTTTTAAGTACTTTTTCATGGAAATTATTTCACCAATCTTTCAATTCAATCCAAGCCCATGATAAGTTGGTATTTGATGATGAAAAGGATGTCATTTGGAGCAAGTTTGATGTTGGACAAAGTTCCATTTGAAGTGTGCAAAGTCATGAAAATGACCCGTAACCAAAATGACTTATAATCAAAGTTTCCCAAAATACCTCTGCCTTGCAAGCTTAATATCTTGAGCTCCATAAATCATATGAAGGACTTCTAGTACTTTTTGGAAAGCTAAGATCATAAGGAACAACTTTCATGTTTGGATCAAAGTGAGGAGAAACATCCTTCTAGGTCAAAAATGTCTTGGAAGTTGGTTGACTTTTGTTGACCAAAATCACATTCATCTGAGGACCCATAACTTGTTAGCATCATAACGTGAGTTCCAGAAATCAGATGGAGGAGTTATAGTACTCAAAATAAAGCTATAAACATGCTCTACAAGTTTCATGTTGGAGTTAAGATTAGATGAGACTTGTATCTTGGGATATGCGGTCTTGAAGTTAGACAATAAATATGGGATTTTACACTGACAAGCTTAGAAACCCTAGCTTAGCAACTTCTCACACTCTTGAATTTTCTTGATTTGATCTTGAACTTCTTAGATGCCTCAACACAACATTCCATGATCATAAGGACTTGGAAATGAGTCTTAATCTCCTTCAATTTCCCAGTTGACCTAGGGTTGACCAGATGAAAACCCAAGCTGCACCACCTTTGACTGTGACTTCTTGCACTTGATATAATGACTTGAACAAGCTCTTCAATGACCCTTAAGACATCCAATGAGCTTATATAATGTTCTCCATCCATAACCATGGACTCAGCATCATCTGATGAACTTGTCATGGCCTCCAAGATAGGAGGTAAACCATATTCATTCATCTGTCTTTTTCAAAGAACTTTGACTTGCTTCTGATGGTGATAAGCACTTGATTGCTTGAACAAGACCTCTTGATTAGGCTTGGAATCTCTGGTGAACTCCTCTTGCTAGGCACACCTCCCTCAATCCCCTATAAATGAACAATGGTATGCAAATGTTAATGCTATGAAAATGCAATAAAACATAAACCAAGTTAGAAAAAGGTTGGGCAAATTTTGGGGTGCAACAATAGTTATAACACAATGCATATTGCCTCTAATCTAGTTTTCCACGAGCGTACTAAACATCTCGAGGTCGACTGTCATTTGGTGCATGAAAAGCTTCGACAAGGATTACTTCGTCTCCTTCTCATTTCCCGTCATAAAAAACATGCCGATTTCTTGACCAAAACTCTACAAAAATCCATTTTCAACAAGTTTATTTTCAAACTTAGACATGATTAAAATTCATCATGCTTAACTTGAGAGACTCTTAAAATTAGCTAGTTTAAACACTTGTTTAATTTAAGTTCATTAAACTAATTAATTAGTTATTGGTTGATTAATTTTTTACAACCAACTTTCCCTTCCATTCCTTTTTGACTTATCAGCATATATTTTCAATTCCCTCCATTTTTGTAACACAAGGTTGAATAATAGAGTCCTTCTTTTCTCTCTCTTTAGTTCATTTCATCTTCATTCTTGTTCATTCAATTAAAAAAACAACTTCATCTCAATAGCAAGAGAGAAATAACTTTTGACCAAAAAGGAGACAAGGAACACTTTTGACAAAAAAAAAAAAAAACAACAACACTTATTTTACAAGTAACAAAATCAAACATGATATTAAACAATTTGATTCATTGGTATTCGCACCCCTTGCACTTGTCTCCAAAAGCGCCGCAACACAAATATCACCGGAATGTAAAACACTTTACACACTATTACACAAATTAAACAACAACATATTCTCATGCCTCTAACGTAACATAATTTCCCCATTCTCATGGGACACAAACACTACTATACACATTCCACTACATGCACAAACAAAAACAACAATACAAACCATCACTCACAAAAAAAAAAAAAAAGAAATAAAACATACATGATAATATCTATAACTCAAAAGAAAAAGGAAGAGCCTCCAAAATCAAAACCATCAATAGAACCTGCCACAACATTATTCTCTGCACCTCCAATATTTGTACCCACCATTTGATTATTATAACAATCACCTCCAACATTCTGCTCCCATGATGAATAATAATACCCATGATCATTATCACCGCCGTTGAACGCCGGATCATAACACGCGGAGCTAGTAATATCCGGCGGCAAAGGAGGAAGTTCAATGCTGTTACTGCTGCTACTACTACTAACAACAACGTCTTCAAAAAACACTTGTTGGTTAAAATGGGAATTTTCATTTCCATGAGTATTATTATTAATACTGGCCTCCAATGTAGCAAGAGGAACTTGAGGAGGAAGGTTATATTTATTAAAATTAATACTATTAAAATAATTACTATTATTATTTTCCTCACCATAACCGTAACCGTAATTACCGGAGGATGTTAGGAAAGAAACCGAGTCGAGAGACTGAACCGGGTTACGTTGAACCGGAAACATCTCCGGTTCATGTTGAAGAACAAACGAAAGTTCATGAAAAGCTTGTTCTTGTCGTTGTTGTTGGTCGGGGGAGAGGATTGGAGTAACAGAAGAACCAGGAGGTGTATCGGCGTAAACAAAATTGGTTCTAGCACGTGACCCACGCATGCCACGTGCGGCTCTGTCGTAAGCTAAAGCAGCTTCTTCAGCAGTGTCAAATGTTCCTAACCAGTGTCTTTCTTTCGTCGAAGGATCGCGAATCTCAGCGGCGTATCGTCCCCATGGTCTTCTTCGAACTCCGAGGTACCTTCCTCCCCATGCCGTTTGTTGCTGTTCTTGTGTCGTTGTAGTTGTTGTTGTCGTTTCGCTGGTTGTCCCTGTCGTTTGCTTCTTCTTTGCTTTCGTAGAACTCATTGTAAATGCAAAGCAATGCAAGAGTTTTTTTTTTTTGTAACTGTTTTGTTTTGTGTTGTGTTGTTTCGTTTCTGTTTCGTTTTGCATGTGAATACATGGTTTAAATAAGAGAGACTCTGGTTGTTTGAATTCTCCTTTTTACCCTTGCTTTTTTTTTGTTTTTCCATATTTAGCCTTGTGTTGACACGTGCTTTCTGTAACTTTATCCAAAGATATGTAAAATGTGTATAATGTAAACTTTCTTATAATAATATGCTTCACTGGTCTCATAATAATTGAGTAATCTAATCTATCAAAAAGGGGAGAATTAATACACTGAGCAACAGAATCCATCACTGACTCTTGAAATATTTTATTGCCTAAAATTTTATTTTTTACTTATAATTATTGCATGAGATGAGTTTCATATGATGGTGAAAGGATATGTAAAATAAATAATTAGTATGTAATATATTATATAAGGAGAAGGAAATATAATAGTTGTATAGTAATTAATTAGTGGGTCGCATAATTAGAAATGTAAATGGTCCATGATAAGCATGTTCTCTTAGATACCCCATTTCATGATTATTCCCTAATCAACTTAGTTCTGCCTTAGTTAAACTTAAGTATTGTGACCATATAATAATAATAATCATGGGGAATAATTAAGGGGCATATAGTCCAAAGTTGCTGCATGTGACTTTTCTATCAAATCATGGGATTGTACATGAATGAGGAACTAATCACACACAATCTATTAAGTTATAGAATATCTATATACTAGTTTAATTTAATTTTATCTTCAAAGATTTTTCTCATTAAATTTGATGATAATGAGAAAAAGGTTCATATGAATTTGCACATTCTAACCATCATTATAGGTGAGAGGAGCTCCATGCCTTTTTTGATTATTAGGTTATAACCTAAGATCTTTTAGAATAAAGTACTTAGATTGATTATTAGTAATTATGTTGGTGCTATGTCTAATCTGCACATTACTCTTCATTGGCTGCATGCTTAAGATGTATACTTTGTTTTATTTTTTATTTTTAAATGCATTCTCCTATTTTTCTATATGAATATGTTATCTTTTGCCCAAAATGAAGAAGATTATAGTCAATGAAAAAAAATATTGAAATAATTTAATATTGTTGAAATATCATAGTCGAATTTGAATTCAGAAAATTTTTATTGTTTTATATGATTTTTTTTTCATCTCATTCAAACACATTTCAATTAATATGATTTAGTATTGTATTTTTTTTATTTAAAAAGTTTAACATATTTTTCCTTTTAATTTTTTTTTTTAAATTGTGGTGTGACCTAATACAATTTTATAAAAACCGACTTTTAGATGAGAATTATTTTTATTTATAAATATATGTTCAGGTTATATATTATCTAACGTAGAGTCAATACATAGATATAAATGAAAGAAGATTTGATAACGTAAATTTAATAGTAAATAATACAAGGGATCTTTAACTAGATGTTGATACAATCTTAAAACTAGAGTTTGTCCTTACTAAAATACTATCATTTAAGATAAGTGGTGGCACTGTATACGTATATATAAACATTGGGTAGTTCATGGTTTAATTTATAATCTCATATCATATAAAATTATAGTTTAGTCAAATTTATTCTTACGAAATTAATTTAAATGAGGAGTGTCTTTTATATAAATTTTTTTGAACACTATGTTTTATCAACGTGAGTTTTGAGATTTTTTTAATAAATTTTGCTTATCGAACAAAGAAAAGTAATTCTATTTTTTTTACTTTAAACTCGAGACCTATTTAAATCAAATGAATCTTATCAATTATTACTCTTATTTGAAATTAACAGAATTAATTGTTAAGAAGAAAAAAACTCTTCATATAAAATAGAAAAGTTTAATCATTTCATATAATAAAATAATATTTTTAAGTGTATTGATATATTTGTAAAGGTCCATGACAACGCAGTATTGGACCAAGCCTTATAAGGCAATCGCCCTAGAGTATGACGCCTAGATGCAACCCCCCACTTCGATGGATACTAGCCCTAATAAGAATCTTGGGGGATTGTGTGTGCATAACCTATAAGTGTATGCATAGGAAGTCTTAATCACAATTTCATAAGAAGTAGGGAGTCAACAGCTTTCCCAATCAAAGAGGAGGGGTTACTACATCTCAGGAGTCCCCTGAATTCAGACTCACGAGTCTCTATAATACCTAAACTCTATGGTTGAAGAGGACAACTCATATATACACATGACATGCCTTAAAGATATAATACGTCTCACCTCGCGTGAGCTTGCTCTCTCCTCACTATAATCACCACAAAATAGGGTTTCTCACCACTGTGAGATAGCCCTAAAACCACTAAAATTCCTTTAAGCCTCTGGCCACCCCCACTAGCACAAGAGGGCCACAAATTTGTACTTTTGACAAATACAATAGTGCTCACGATGGGACCCCGATAAAACTAACCTAGGTTACACCTTCATTTGTTACCACCAAAATCTCCACTCTTAGACCTACTTGTTCCCAACCATGGTTTCTAGGAGAGCATAATCACCTACACAGGAGGATACTTAAGGTAGTAGTGATTCCAACGCCATGGCGAAGATTTGCACCGTTTTTTACGAAATGCGCAGTCAAAATCAAAATCTAGAGGACAATGTCCTATATATCCAACAACACTAACAAGAAACCACCTCCACAGAAGAAATGGAAATGTTGGACCTTAGCCATTTTCAGATAAGATATGACAAACACTTGTTCTCGAAGGTTTCAAGCCTCCCTCCTTAGAGAAGTTTGACAGACGTAGTGGCCTTACGATAATTTCACTCCATCCACACATAGATAGCCATCATATGAGCTATCGATTCGCTGAAGTGCAAGCTCTTATCTGGAACTTCCAAAGATGTAAACTTATGTTGGTATATGACCTACCCCGTACTTCCTTCACTAACTACCAGGAGCTGGTGAAGAAAATCGTGCACCAGTTTGTAGTCACTCTATATAGAAAGATGTCCATCACCAACCTATTTACCATTCAATAAGGACCCTCAGAGTCACTGAGGGAATACATCGTCTGTTTCAATGAAGTCACCATAAGATTCGTCCATCCAAACCAAGAAGCGTTCATAGGAACATTTCAAAATGGTCTCAAAGCAAGGCACTTTAATGAGTTCCTCGCCCATTGGCCAGTCTCTTTGATAGAAGAGGTAGTCACAAGGGCAGAATGTTATATATAAAGAGAGGAGAGTAACACTGAGAAGAAGGTCGTGACGTGAAAGAGAGAGTTCCTAACTCCAAAGCACATAACATATATGGAAGAGCAATTACATCTTTCCTGTCAGGGACAATTCAGTATTTAAGAGAAGTGGAAAGGCTTTAGAGAGCTTCAAACCTTTGAACACTCTTCATTAGCAAATCTAGCGCAAAGTTCTACACTTACATGATATGCATACACCTCTCATTCTAAAAGCATATGTTATAGGACCTGAACCTAGCAGATAGTGTAAGTTCTATAGAGTGAAAATATACCACCCCGAAGATTGCTGCAAACTCAAGAAGGAGATAGAGCCCCTGATCTATGAAGGTTGCCTTAAGAAATAGGTAAAAGGAAACTTCTCTCAAGGGTCAAGTGGGACCGGATTCTGTAGGAATGACGATACTAGAACCCACAAACCCGAAAGGGAAAGTGATCTTACCTGATCAGAAAGGAATCAGTAACCTTCCACGCGTCGTGAGCTCCTGGGTTCATCGGTGTTGAAGAGGAGGAGGGGGTGTGCCTGCAAGGTACTTCGATGCTTAAGTGAGTAACAGAGTTTAGAAAGAGCAAGTACATAGAGATTAGGTATGTAGAATGGATTACCTGACCCTCTAGTGAAAAAGGGTACTTATAATGTGCCCCCAGCGCAAGGCCAGCGGTTACTTGGCACTGGGTTGGATTGCAAGGCCCAATAGAGTAACTGTCAGGGCTTACGTGGCGTAGGAAAGACCAGCACATGGTCTTCGCCCTAGATCAACTGCCCTGTGATCTTCGAAAGGTAGGTTGACCAGCTCTTTCGGAAATGGGTAGTTGCCTGATGATGTGTCCCCGTGTGTGGAACACGTGGAGAACGTGGGGTAGACGCGTGAGCTCTCCCTCTGCTAGGTAGTAGTTTGCCCGACGACAGAGTTGAGTGTGCCCGACATGGTAGAATTTGGCCTTGTTGGGCCTCCTCAACATAGTATTGGGTTGAGCCTGTCCGACTGTGGGGCAGATCTCAGCCCAGTCCAGAAGAGAAAGGAACCATCCAAATAAGTGGGCGGCAATATGGCTCTGCATACACTCAATACTATTGCAGGAGAATTTGTTGGAGACAGGGAGACTAGCTCTATTTGGAAAAGACACACCTCTAGTTATTGAATATAAATTATCTCCCCACGATACTGAAGGAAAGGGAGACCAAGACACTAGAGGTCGAGATCTCTTTTTCAAAGAAAGATGTAGTAGGTATCCGCCCTTATAAAGACAACCCCATGGTCATCACTGTGAGGTGCAATGACTAGGAAATAAAAAATATTTTGGTAGATCAAGGGTGTTATATAGATATCATATATTAGGATGCATTTGAGAGGCTCTTTCTGTCCACATATGACCTAATATCTATGACCTCTTTAGACACTACAGAGGGGGGGGGGGGGGAACCATTATCTTTGTTCTTGGGAACACAAAAGAACAAAAATAAATCACTACCACCATCACAATCGCTAATATAACGACTAAAGTCCCCGATCTCACAGAACAAAAACTTTATGACAACCTAAAGCCCTATTAAAAATTCTTTTGTCTAAAATCCCTAAGCATAACTGTTACGAATAGGAAATATAGAAGGAATAAATACCTAAAAAGGTTATGAATAAGGAAAAAGCCGGAGGAAGCTTGTAAAAGACCGTGCAAGCAAAAAAAAAACAGAATAAGCTTGCAGAAAGTTATTTGAGCAAAATGGGAAAAGAATTGGGAAAAGGTAATAAGTAAGC